ATAATATAATTAAATATAACTATTACTAATATTAATCCTTTAATATTTTAATATTTTTAATTATTATTAAAGTTTTTATTTTTAATAATAAATAAGAAAAAAATTAATTTAAAATAATAAAAAAGTAATACTTATTTTAAATAAGTATTTAATACTATAGTCCTGGTAGAGACCGTGACGAGCTGCTGTGATAAATGTTACACACGCGCCTGAGTAGATTTTGTCTATTCGTATTACCTCGAGTCTTGTAGAGTATTCTTATGTACGTCGACGAGAACCAGAACTTTCGACTCCGGGATAAAGCGAAAGAAGAGATGACCTCACTCCCCCTGATTTCGGCATACAGTGACAATAACGTGGAGGAGCTCATGGGCTTACTCAACTATCTTTCATCTTACCAACTTGTAGCTGATATAACACAAGGCTCGGGAGGTCGACGCCCAAACTTACAGTATGAGATAAAAGAAGCTTCAAAGGATGATCAAAACCCTACGCCCTTTGAGTTCGCTCCTAGCTCTGAGATTGTTGCAAAAGAGGAGTTCCTACAGGATGTCTTTGTGGACATCGATATCCCCGACCTTCTCGATCCTATCAAGAACAACCCTGACTTCAAGATGAGCGACCGCTTCAAGACGTTCATCACCAACACTGCGGTGGACTTCCGTGATTACGAATTACCGGACTTGACGAGGGATCCTTCTAAACTAAGATCCCGGGCGGCCAACCGCGCGGATGCGAGGCGACCACGATTCAGTGCCTGGGTGGTGGAAGAGGTTACTATTACTACTGAAAGACGTAGCAACGGCAGTTATATTACTTATCAGAATTAGTTTAATAATGCTTCTATATACTCATAGACTTCTCTATAGTACATAGGATCATTACAAATAAAAAGAGTCTTAAAAACATTGCTATTGCCTCCAACTGCCTTCCCTCTGGGGTTGTTAGACCTAGCTCCTGTTGGACATCTGGCTTTTACTCTTAACGGCGCTGCCCATGGTTCGTCTGCGGTCTCTGGTAGTTTCCGGCGCTCATGTCTCCGCCATAGTAGATCTTTGTATTCTCCCAGGAAGAGGTACGAGGGTCAACACCTCCCAGATGCTCAGTTATACGACGATGCCGACCGAGGAGGAAGGGATCTTGAATGTCGCTGGAGATGTAAAATCTCTTGCTGTGCTGTAGACTCCACGGGAGTCCGGGGACGAAAGTGTCGGGATTTTCCCGCATGTAGTCAAACAGCATAGGATACCAAAATTTCCCTACCAGAGGTGGCATATTGGCTCTGCTGAAGACCATGATTTTGATCATCTCGTGTGTGTCGTTCTTTGGGAACTCGGGGCAATTCCAGGTATTGTGTCGAGAAGAGTTGCAGATGGCACAGCCACGAATGAAGCCAGTGTCATGGACTCGATGACACATGGCTACCGTGTGGCCTTTGTCTTGACAATTACCACAGACCGTGGGATCATTAGATGCGTTCAGGCGAGTATTAGCGTCTCTCAGCTTGAAGTAGGCATTGGGGTCAGCTCGCTCGAGGGGAAGACTGTCCTGGGCTGAGACTGTTCGCTGTCGCTTTGCCGCGTGGGAAGGCATTTGGGGAGCCGTGTTTGGTGGTGCTGCTGAGATTACTGAATTCCAAGAGAGAGTGATGGGCTCGTCTCGCTGGAACATGCCCTCAATTGCCTGGATGGCAGCTTCGCGGTTGATGAAGCTTGCGTGGCCCTTGGCTTTAAGTAACCCATAGTTAACCCCCTGATTGTTCGCGTTCACCTCGTACAGGCTGTCGTGGCGGCCACCGAACACAGCTTGGTTCGCAGCATGGGTCATGTTCGTCTGTTCACCATCTTCCGTGTTGATCTTGCGCTTAGTGCCTCTATGTGCCTGGTTCGGGTGAACTTCTTGACTGTGACTCTCTGACTGGCTTTGAACGGCGGCCTGGTCCTGATACTGAGGGTAGCTGTCGTTCACCAAGAGACGAATAGCATTGTCGACTTCTGCACTGAGCGGTTCAGCATATAGAGGCTGGAGGTGCGTAGTCACTGAAGTGAGTGGTTGCTGAGGAGCACGCTGATGGTAGTCATCGGACCGATGGTAGTTGTTGGCAACTCGACCGTATCCTTGGGGATACAAAGCGGGTTGCTCATATTCCCGTCCTTGCTGGCCGTAGCTACGACCTGGTGTGGCATTTCTGAACCCTTGGGACTGGCCACTACCACGACCTCGTCCGATATGAGGACGAAGAAAGTCTTGACCGCCCTCGTATGGGTGTCTGCGAGGGTTATACCGACGGTCGTTGGAGGACATCGTTCTTCTGTCGATGTGTTGTCGATGTTATCAGTAGTCGTTGATGTTATCTGTATTCTCTGACGTTGAGTGTGATGGGAGTGAAAAGCGAAGAGGAGAGGAGATAGAAACAGAGACGAGAATACATTGTCCATGGAGATATTGGATGACTGGCATGAACACTCGTTCGAATAGCCTTTGCCAGTGTCAATGTAGAGTCCTGCCACTCTCAGATATCAACTCAGGCTCCAGCCAGTCAACGGACACTTACGCACTGTTCTACGCAGTTGATTTCCCGGACTCAAAGTCGCAGTGGCATCTGCTAGTTCAACTGTCTCTAAAATTATTTACCATAATATATACCAGATTGGCAAACATGAGCCAGATCATGATTTACCCATCATGTGACACTCATCAAAATCACACCAGATATATCACAACGTTCAGTGCAATTCACAGGAGCAGAGAGGTATACGTCTATTGCCACTGTCTATCTAGATCTAGGTAGTGACGGGGCGTATGCAGCTCCCAGCTGCGTAGGACGGATGTGGCAATCCACGGTTTGGACTCCTCTACCTCCAGCTTGATGTTCTTTCATGCGCGTGCCCAGACTTTGGCTTCAATGATTGTCTCCATCCACTATAGTGGCATCTTGACCCCCACGTTGTCTTGTCCAAGATTCCTTGCCACGGAAGGCGGTAGGTCTTGTTTTGTGTCTGCATGGCGGCGTGTGGTGCTAGTCTCTTAGATCATGAGAGGCAGGGCTGACGTACGTTTCATTTCCGACTCTGAATTCGACTTCGAATCTGCCCCCAGTGACCTCGAACTCATCCTCATTTAGTGTCCAGAGGGTCAGAGGATCTACCCCGAATAAATGGAAGGAGATCTTGAACATGGTGACGAGGTGTTGAGCATATTGGTTGGTCCTCGTCTGTCTCTTGATTGCTTCCTCGTGCACTGTTCCTCTCCAGTACTGAATGAGAAATCTTTCTTCGTCATCATGACTCCAATCTTCGTTGTAGGTCGGATCGGGGCATCCGTACTCGCCTTTGGCTTCATACGCCCGCTTTGTCGGACCTTGAACACCAACAAGACGGACTGCCTCTTTTGCGGCACTCTTTCTCCAATGACGCTGCATCGCGCGCATACCTTTGATCTCATACCTGTCCTCTGTCTCGAGGAGAAGATCGTCCCATTTCTGATCACTTACGACAGGAGGAATTTCTTCATCTTGGATGTCGGATTCCGAGTCATCATCAGAGCTTTCGGCTGTCGCTCGTGCGGCTCGTGGACGGGGTATGCCGATCGTGGACTTCTGTGGGATGGTGGTTTCTGTACCCTTTTTATTGTTCTTCGACCCGTGAGGCCGGCCTCGGCCTCGCTTGGCTGCTGGCTCTGATGGCTCAGATGGTTCTGGGACCGATCTTTTCTTCGATCCTTTGGCGGGCATTCTTGCGCTTTGTTGAGGATGTCTGAGGCCGGATGATGTGAGATTTGAGTGAAGATGAAGATTTAGAATAGGTTGGCCAGATTTGTGAGGTACCTTGGTAGGTACCTACTAAGGTAGACACTTTGTCATGAACAGGCGTTGCCAGTGTTGGTGCCAGTGCCAGTTCAAAGTCCTGCCACTCTTAGACATTAACTCACACTCCGGCCAGCCAATGCACGCTCACGCCCTGTTCCAATGGCAATATAGGTACGTAGGTAGTTAGGATTACAAATTTCATTAATTTTCTCTTTTCTTCATCGCCTAGCAAGAACTATCACCCCTTTTTGAAGACATTATCTCCTAAACCCAGTGGTTCCATGCTCAATACACATCCTCTCCCCAATAGGCGTATGGATAGGTCCATACGTCCAACTTCCTCCAAGTCCCTGTACAACCTCTTTGCGTTTCCTCGCACTCATAGCCGCAACTCCCTCAAGTCCTCTTACCCACGGTGCATCAGCAACATACCAAAGTGCACCAGCCAGACTTCGTGGATCGACGGGCAAGTCGGGCCACTTTACCAGTAAACTCGACAACATAGCTAACACCATGATGAGAAGAATACCAATGCTCAAACGGGAGCATATCTCGTGGGCTTCACTTGTCTGTGTGAGACTGTATGGTACGTTGGCTAGTAAAATAGGGAGAAACTGGGCAAGGAGGGTCGTGAAGGCTGTGAAGAAGAGGAGAGGATCGCGGATTCGGAGGGCGACGAAGAAGCCGGAGACTGGGTTTGTTGCGGGTGTCATGAGGACTGATCGTGTAGGAACTTGAGGATCTTGAGCCATTCGACGGTAGGGTGTGATCACAGCGACACCTGAAGAGTCAGTATATGTATCGAAAAGGGGGTGAGGATGACTTACTGGTGAAGAGAAACTCCCAGCAAAAGACAACAATGACACCCAGTGCGGAACAAACAAACCGTACACCAAAGTCTTGACTCTCCATGAGTTTCTTCATGTTCTTAGGCAAGTGGCTGAACGTATCAACAAAGTGATAGTAGCTGATGAAGCCAAGAAGACAGATCAGAAACACCAGGAATGTGAAGCGGTACCAGAAACTCAAAGCCATGAACGTCTGAGGCGCTCGACGCCGAGTTTGAGGTCGATACGCCATGCCCTCCTCATATGGCGTGTTACCATAAGGGGCTATGATATCACGGTTGGCATCACCAACAACAACAAGACCATACTCATCTCTCCCCTCTTGGTTACGAAACCACCCCATAGCGAACCTCTTCTCCGTAACAGCCCCCTTCAAGTCTTTCCAATCTTGAGCACCCATCGATCGAATCTCAGGGTTACGAGCAACGAGCGCCGCCGTATTAGCAGCACACCAGGGATTCGCAAACACACCAGTTCGCCAGTGTCGACTGATGACGCTGAGTGTGAACATGAGTAGAATGGCGATTGCGCCGAGAAGACCAACGAGCGCGTAGGCAGCTGTGTTGGAAACACCAAGTTCAAGAGCACAACCGTCGATGGCACCCTTTTTACAGCTTCCATAGATCTTGAGACCAACAGCTTCACTGGATAACGGGGCCGCGATACTCGATGCCCAAAGAGCGAGTGCCGTCAAAAATGGAAGAGGCTGGTTGTTGAACAACAGCTTGAACGGAAGATAGATACTCATCCATCCATCAAAGCTCAGCAACAAGGCCTCACGACCTAGAGCACCACCCTGTCTTGACAACGCAGCAAAAGGCTGATACTGCTGCGCCGACTGATTCAACGCTCGGATCCCCATTGCAAGAAGAACAGCAACGATAGGTGGTAGAAACTTTCCAATGAAGTACCCAGAATGCGTAAGCGTATGCGTCGTAGCTTCAACAACAATCTTGGTATCACCAGTCGGCGTCTCAACATCCGTGACAACAACCTTTGTCGGCGGCACAGTCGTAACACGCGTAGTGCCAACTGGTGTAGAAACAGACGTGATAACCTGTCCGTCCGCCAGAGTCTGAACCATGGTTACCGGCGGTGGCGCATCAACTACTGTCTTGACCGTAGCAGCGACTTCACTTGTTCTAACCCTCGTAACGGGGGGTTCCGCAACTTTGCCCTCTGAATCGATAGTAAGAACCGAATAGATCGTCGTTGTCCCGACAGAAGCATAAACAATTGGTGGACCAGTCCGTGTCGTTTCTCGAACGGTTGTGCGGACGGCGCCGTTTTCTTTTACGGTGATGAGGGTTTTTGTTTGGCCGGGTTGGACAACTGTTGTAGCTTGCCAATCTTCAGGGGGGACTGACTCTTCGGGGATGTAGGATGTAAATGACGATGCTGCTTCGGTGATGGTTTCGGTGAGGGTTGTTTCGCCGGTTTCTGTGATGGTCTCTGTTGTTTTGGAGACTTCGATCGAGCCTGGTTCTGTGACCATGGTTGTAAAGACTGATTCAACGAGAGCTGTTGTCAAAGTTCCTCCTTCGACATCCCCAGTTGCTGTGGGGATGTCATCTGTAGGTACAGGCTCTGGCTCGGGTTGTGAGGCTTGAGATTCTTTATTTCCGGTGTCGGCTGTTGGTTCAGGTTGAGATGGTTCGCTCGCGACATCTTGTCTCTTCATATAGAAGAGATTTTCATTAGTGATTCGGAACGAACGACTTTCTAGGGTCGCTGTTTTGTCATCGCCATTCAACGTGCGTGTAGCATAAATGATCAATCCCATAAGACCCAGCAACACAAGAATTAACGCGCTGATGAAGGGCCATCGTAGAGGAATTGGTCGGTAATCAGGTCTCTCTCTGTCCCGCTTCTCAGGTTGACCCGCATCCGTCTCGACAGGATAAACCTCCTGTGCAGTCACAGGCTTATACTCGTATGTAGTCTGCTGTTGCTGTGGCTGCTGCTGCTGATATGGCTGATAATGTTGATATGGTTCATTCTGAATATACGGCGGTTGATACATCTTGACGACCGCAAAGTTTGTGTATCCAACTTGAGTCGCGAGCAAGGAAAGGAGGCTTTATTAAACTACCACAAAGTCCAACGCCCAAGCCCAAGCCCCCCGGCTCTTCAACTTTCCGAATGCAACGGGGCATCCGCCGTGTCATTGCAAGTCCATCATTGGCCTCGCCCTCGACGGCATAATAACCTAAACGTAAAATCCAGGCGTGGCGTCTCCCTGGAATACCAGGACAGCTGAGCTATTGAGAAATGCCAGGCTGCTATTGGATCAACAGGCGAGTGGTGTTGTAGGGCTGAGAGTTAGACGGTCTCAAAGAGGGAATGCCAAGACTGAGCTGGAGTCTAGACCATTTAAGCTTATCGATATTTGGGTAAAGCCATCATGTGTCATTTCCACTAAGCACAAGGTTCGGCAGTTAGCCTTGCACTATTTTGCATGTGAGTTTGGTAAGAATGTTTGATTATTCGTATCTACGTATGACAAGGCAGATTCCAACGCCTCATGTCCAAAACCCAGTATTCCAAACGCCATCCCAATTATACCCAAAATTTACCAGCCGAGAACGTTGAATAGGCTTGTTCGGGGATCAGGAACAGAACCGTTGAAAGTTTTTGCACGAACAGTCTCGCTCTTTGTGGTGTTGTATTGACTAAAGTAGCGGTCGAATGTTCGGGATTGGTTTGTGAGTTGTGAACGAACGTAGCCGCCAACAACAGAGATGCTTCCCACAGCGATGAGAACAGGAAGGACCCTGAATATGTTAGTGAAGAAGTGGTAAAAGGGCAGTGATGCTTACTTGGGGCCGACAGTGGGCTTGATCATGAGAGCAGCCATTTTTGTGGATTGGTTTGATTGGTGGGTGGGTTGTGTAAGTGAGCTAAAGCTGAAGCTGAGGATGCTAGTGTTGTTGGTGAGATGATCTCAGTGATTGTTGTTGTGATTGTGATTGATGGTGATGAGGAAAAGTATTTGAGAGTCAATAACTCCATCATTATATATTCTCGTCTTGAGGGCCATTTCGTTCATTTCCGCAACCTATTTTCGTCGGTCGCATGTTGATGTTCTGAGCTGACGGGTGGTGCTGTTTTTGGTGGTGCCATGGAATGATCCAGCCCTGGACACAGCCATTTCGGGCGATGCCGGGGTCCGCCACACCAGAATTGGATCTCTACACCTTGAGATCTTCACCTTCAGGATGATCGAGAGGATGAGAGATTGTCTGTATCTACGGTTAACTATATGTTCCCTTTCTTCGTACCCTTACTATCTTCAAAATTTGACTGCATTTTCAGAGTCCTAAACATTCGTGGGTGTCATGTCATACACAATTGTAATTTGTATCGAACAACCAGATACATAATTCTAGCTCAATAACTATCAACATGAGTTTTTTCTCTGTGGCAATCATATCTTGGCAATAGTTCAATCGAAGCTATCTACAAAATGCATCTGTAAATGCAATTATGGTGATGGCATACTCAAAATCTGGTGTTGAGAAATCATCTGATTTTCGGACCCGGCGTCGACCGAACCCACCCAAAATTCTCCGGGAAATCAGTCCATCATTCGGTTGTCGACACACTCAGCCCCGAAACACATTCTCGACTCCTAAAATCGTCTCACTGATCAACTTTAACTCTGGTACCGGAATCTTCAGGAACAATTGCTATGTTTTTCCTTCCAAGCGTGTATTTTTCTCCATCCAACGATGGATTGAGTGATGACCTCATCAACTTCCTGTTGACCTGAAAGTCAGTGTCTCTGCATCAGAACCCTCTTGTCTTCTTCTTATCTGTGTATCAGCTCTCCGTATGTCCCGGCCAGGTGAGCCCGGAGTCATAAAATGCCCACCGGTAGGGTCCCACAATTCCCGGTGTCCTCGCCGGTAACACGGCCGGTGATGTGATGCATCACAGCACAAAAAGGAATGTAGATAAGCTCAAGTCAAAAGAAATCACGAACGCATTTTATTTGAATCCTTAATTATAAAAGAATTGTCTCCTATCTCTCATCAAGTCTCAAAAGACCTTCACCTTACAAAGTCAATACAGATCATATCATGGATATCACACCTACCGTCAACAGTCCATCAATACAACCATCCCCAAACATCCAACCAACGGCCGGAGAATTCCAATCCAATCCCCAGACCCTTCACCCACACGTCACATGCTTCTATTCCCGCCTCAATCCCAAAACGTCCATCACCCATCAATGACATCCAATAATCGTCAATGGCTACACATCTCCAGATATTCTGACGCGGGGAAGCTCCTGATACTGTAGCTCACCACGTCATCCCTCCATCATCCAAAGCTCTTAGATCATTGACCAAGCCCTATTAAATAGCAAAGCTCCCTCAATGAGCAGACCTCAATATACTACTTCATAATAATTGCTGTATCAGAATAAGTCAAAATGTCCATGAGACTCATCTTTCGTCCTGTGGTGCGAATCCCACTCCTCCGCCCCCAGATCCGCCTTGCTACTACAAACCCTACGCATGTCCATCCAGATGGTAACCTCGGCGGTCCGGGAGGTCAGCAACCCCCACCTGTACGCCCCGGCGGTCCGGAAGCCATCACAAGGAACTGGTACAGTCACCCTCACCCTCCTTGCTATCACCACTGACACTCCCAGGATGCCCATCGCTGCAGCTGCAGCTGTGATCGCAGGCGGCGTCTTCATCATACTCCCCACACGAGGAAAATCTCCTGAGAGAACTCTCGAGAGCGACATGGTAGCTGCCAACTCGACGGCGATTGGATATATCGGTCAACCATCTGGAAAGCCAGGTATTGCCTCTCATTACAGGGAGCTTCGAGATGGGAAGGAAGTCGAGTCGATGAAGGAGTTGAGTGGGAGAAAAGGCGGTGGTTCAATGGGACCTTTCAGAGCGGAATAAATAACGAAAAATGTATTTCATAACGGAGGCGACTTGCCCAGAGTATCAAATTGTCTATCATCGCTCGATGGAGCTGTACATTAATAATAACACATCGCTTACTTCTGCTCTGACGGTTCGTCTTTCTTCTTCTGTAGCAGATAATCTCCCCCAAACACCGCTTTGTACACTCCTCTCAGTCCTCTTATCGGCCATCCTGTTCGTGCCGTTGACTTCATCAGTTTCTCGTCCCCTTCGATATCTACTTTGACTTTGTCGTAGACATTCGGTAGATACGACGCTCCGTACTTTGCTCTTAGCGCATCGTACGCTTCTTTGTTGTAATGCGACCAGAATTCGTCTTCTGTGTAGTATGCTTGGGCGTATAGCCATTTCTTTCCTCCGCAGTCTTGAACCTTTTGCTCTAGTGCTCGATTATGCCGAATTGCGTCTCGTCGGTTTCCTTGCAGAGGACCCCATATTCCAAAGTTCATAAGTTCCACGGTTCCAGGTTTTGCAAATTCTGCGTGTAGACCATACCCTGAGTCTGGGTCTTCTCGTCGTACTCGTAATGGACATATCCAGAGGGGATAGATTCTGAATTGCTTGTCCAGCCAGTTCTGAAACTCTGGTACGCTGTTGTAAGGCACTCCGACATCTTGAACCATGTAATAGTCAAACAGGTTACTTTTGTGGCCAGCAGAGTACATGACGCGAGCTCGGAGTAGAGGGTCCAGGATATATCGAGTCAGCCGGTTAAAAGGTGCGAGAAAGTAGTCAAAGGCGTATTTAGCGACCCAGAAACCACCTCTGTCGTATCGGAATAGATAATCCTTCAATGGGATGTAGTCGGCGACGCAGGTGACAGATCCCATGCGTAGCCCATCTCGAACCTTTTCAACATGAAGATAGAACCACTTGTCCTTCCGTCGGTTCAGTTGCCTTGGCGTAGCGCTGATTGGTATCTCATCCACCATTCGTCCTGCACATACAACAGTCGTATCCTTGGAGTAGGCAATCCCATCAACATAATCATTCTCCCACCTCTTACACTCCTCCTTGATAATCTTGACAGACTCAGATGGCCCCCTCGCGAGTCGGTACTTGAGCTCAACATACTCCTTGGCCTCCTTCAATTGAACTTCCAACAACGTAACCACACCGAGTGTTCCGAACGCCGAAGCAGCACCCCAGAAAAGATCCGGCTGCTCCGTCTTGGAAGCACGCGTAACACTTCCATCGGCTAGAACAATCTCAATCCAATTGACGGTCGCGTCGAAAGCCCCGTACCGAAAAGAACTGCTCTCTCCCGACGTCCCCGAAAAGCCACCTCCAACGGTAATAGCCGGGAACTCCATAACGACCAGCGGAACAAGCCCCAGCGGTAGCGTCGCATCAACGAGGACTTCCATTGAGACATTTGGTTCAACAATGACCGTCTTGGAATCTTTGTTCACTTCAATGACATGGTTGAGCTTGCTTGTGTCGACGGTGTTGTCCACTCGCCGGTTTGAGTGCCGTGTGCTGTTAGTTGAGCCATGGTATAGACGGAACGGTTCCTGGCGGGCGTGAAAGTGCTTAACTCGGTCCGCGACGCCAGCGACGATGGTTTTATGAGCGTCCATCATGAGATGGGGTCGCAGAAATAAATGAAACAAAAAAAGAGATGCAGGAATCAAGATAAAAGACTTGGCGAGTCGTTCAGAGTAGTATCGGGTCGAAAATAGCAAGGAATGATCCACAATTCCTTTTCCTTGTGCCGTGCTTGTGCCTGTGCTTGTGCTCGTGCTCGTGCTTACGACCCAAGAGTTTTATATGAGTCGATCACTCATGACGCTTGATTCCGACATATCCGACCGAGTATGATGATTACTTGCTTAGCTTGCTTCGAATCAGCAAGACTCGTCTTATTTACTTCTTACTTGTTGCGGTCTGAGGCGCCACGTCAAACACGTCAGCCCTGCTTTGACCATATCGCCAAGTTTTTTATTCTATTCTGGTCGATCTCAATATGACGTTTGTTGTTTCATTGGTTCAGCTTGTGATGCATGAATAGGCGCGTTTGCTAGTGGACAAGCGATCCTGGAAATGGCCCCCACAAGACATTGACAGCCAAACCAAACCAAACGCTCTGCTCTGTTGATAAATAAACTAGCTAACTATCCGAATGGCTCTGCAATTCTAGCTTTGATATGTAAGGCTCGGTTGTGATTCGCTCTCATCCTCTTCCTCTTCCTCTTCCTGATCCGAGTCTTGACAACTAAACGCTGGGATATACATACTATCCGAATGACTCTAATTCTAGCTTTGATGTCTAACGCTACGGTGTAGGCGGGGTAACTTTCAATACAGGTAGTTCATAGTCGCCATCACGCCCATCCTCCTCGTCCTCTTCCGTAGAGTCACTTTCCCCCTTCTCATCGTCTTCAACCTCAACGTAATAATCGAGATCATTAAGGTAGTACTCAAGGTCCCTACCAAAAATACCCCTCCCGTCCTTGTCCTTCTCGCTGTGACTGGGCTCAGGCGTTTGTCTCAGCAACCTCAGCAGGACCCTAGCGTTTTCAGTTACTTTCTCTTCCAGCTTATCTGTGAATTTTTTTGCTCGTGTTAGGATACCGAAATCATCCTCTTCCATACCATGTAGAGGACCGCACATCGCCCACAGTCTTTCGTATCCCGTAATCTGACGTGCTTCGATCGTCCAACGGTCAAGATGGTCTTGTATTGTACATCTCCAGCATTTTGGAGGGATCCAGCCATTGATCTTGTATCTTAAAAGAAAGTCTTGCGAGACTTCCATTCCTGCAGCACTCAGCGCACCAGGAAGTTTGAGCGCAAGTTCAGAGCTGTGTGCACAGTCGAACATAATACGATGAGTGCACGGCTCGGCGCCATCTTGCTCAACATCCCCCTCCTGTCTGCCTTGCTACGGGCAGATGGGTGACGTCCCAGACGATTTGAAGTTGTCGAGGAGTGTGTCGTAACAACCGTCTCCAATAATGTGTCCACAGGGAAACAGCAAAGCAGAATGTCCTTTTATTTGGTCCAAGGTTTTGTGATCTTGGCAAGTTCCTCGACAGGCAGCGCAGCGAAAGCGAATACATGAGAATTGCAAAGTCGTCAAGCTTCGTGCGCACTCATCGTCGTCGTCCGCCTGGTCACCCTTGTGGTGGAATTTCAATATGATCTTCTGTAGCCAATCAAATGCACTTGGGTAGTGGTATTGACTGGGGAGACCTAGGCCTTCCTTCGAGAATACATTGAAGAAGAGATCGGGCATTTCTACGGACAAGTGTTGTCGAATGACTGATAATTTCACAACCTCATCCTCAGCCGACATGCCCTCACTGCGATAGGCGTCAGTCGTCTCAGCGTTTGTCGATGTCTCTTCGGTATTTTCTCCTTCTGTTGCCTTTTTCTCTGGCGCAATCTTTTCGGTCGATTTGTTCTCGCTAGCTTTTTCGCCGGCCATCTTGTTATCCGCCATCTTGTCGTCTGTCGATTTGTAGTTGATAACTTTGTTGTGGGCTATAAGTAACTCTGCTGTCGGTCACGGCGATGATATGCTTGATAGTCTTTGGGCTTTTGTTTGTATGGATGATATTGGTGTGATGGCTGATGCTGATGCTGATGTTGGTTGATGTTAGGTTGACACTGAACGAGGTCAGTCAGGCTGTTATGAATTGCGAGCACCTTCCAGCTGTGATTCACATCCCTAACAAAAGCAAGTTGTGTCGAATACGTCCTTCCTCGTTCTACAATTTACGTTGCAATATGATTGGATACCTTAAGTACTAAGGTGAGTAATATCTTTGATCATCTCGCGACCAGTGATGCGAGTGGTATCCCAGAGAGTAAGGTAGGGAAGTCGAGAAGGTACCTATTCTTCGTCTCAGGTCTCAGTTGAACAGACGCGAATCTGTACCCAGCAACTTCCATTCTACCCAAACGCCTTCTCATTCTGCCTCTGAGGCGTATCATGGCGATTCATCTCGCCTTCACTCCTTTTCTTTGGTAGCTCTCCCGGTGCCAAATTCAGCTGATCTAATGAATGGCCTACCCAAGTATACCGTAGCCACTTTAATGGTCTACGGTCCTCAAACAAGGCTTTTTGGACTTCGTCTCTATAAAAGAATGCCAAGATCATCTGAATCATAAACACAGATGCATTCCCCGAGCATGACGAGAGCTTCCCAAATCGAGTATCTTCAAACCGAATACCCAGACGCTCCAGAACATGCTCAAACACTGCGGGTTGTTGAAGGCGTGTCTCAAACTGCTTCTCCTTCTTCAATTCCCATATCTGAAGGTTGGGTTCTGCTAACCAATCCAACTCAAGCTGCAACAGCCCAGTTTTGACGGGCTCTGCGTCAAAGGTCAACAAAATGAGCTGCCGAAGACGTCCTTGCTCGACCTCATCTTTCCGTCGGTTTTTCTTTTTCAACCCCGCAAAGACTCGATATAATCTGTGCGCAAGATTTTTCTCCGGGACCTTTTTTGATCGGTCAAAAGCGAACAAGTATGGTGATTGATCTGATATATCTTGGTTCTCAAACTCTTCCACTATATAGTGGAGAGGAGCCATGTACTTGAACCAGGACGACCCACGATCTCCAGGTAAGACGCCCTTTCCACGGTCATACAAAATGTCTCTCATATCAATATATGCGATCCCGGCCTCGATGATGGGATCGTGTCGAGACGACGGTCTTTCAAGCGATACGCTAGGCTCTTTACCGCATATATGATGGAAATCCAGAGAGATGAAGATATAGTCAGTTTCGGGCATTCTGACGAACTGGTTCGTCTTGGTATCCAATGTAGGGAAGACATGCTCAAGGTTTTTCGGAGGAACGGTACATGATTCCCAAGGGATATATTCCGTCTCTTCGTCAGACATTGACATATTGGACGAGACACTCTCCTGGAAACTCGAAGTCGACATTGCCACAGCTGCACTGGGGAGAGGATGAGGGCTGGGGGAAGCCCAGGTAAATAACACGAGAGAACCGTTGTTTTCGAGCTCGTTGGTTTGACTAAAAGCACACACAGCCTAGCAATCAACCTGCCACTTATATACGTGGTACTTCCTGTACTTCGGACCACTCTTGTAGGTGAACGGCGACGAACGGCGTCTGTGAGCCAGAGTCTCACACAGTTTGTCAGTGAACCGTGCCATTGTTTGGCCCTGGCTACCTGCCGCACAATTCAGAGCGACCTCAACGATGGCAGAGCATCAGCCATTCTCAAAATGAGATATCCTCTCGCTGTAGTAGTCTCATATACCGAGCAGACACAGGTTGAACCTTGAGATTGACCGCATACTGTTGAGTGAAGAAGTGGTTACTTTCCAAATTACAAGACGCCAGTACAGTATTTCCTTCACATATTATTAATATCTAACAATCCAATCACATCTAAGCATATTTCTCTTCGTTATAGTGTACCCAAAATCACCACGCAGAGGCCAAGTTCCCCTCCTTGTGTGATTCACAGTCTCGGGATAGCTGTCAAGTAGGTCCCTCCCAACTTGAGCATATCCACAGCCTCCTTGACCATCTCATCAACGATTTCTCCAGCAGGCTGAATCTTGGTGATGGCTCCAGCAACTTGCCCCATCAAATGTGGCAGATCGAAATCGTTGCCCTGCTCAAAGTCGTACTCAATCGGTACAACACCCTTGTCGCACAACTCCTTGATCTTATCTGGCTGCTCATGCCACTTCCTGATATAATCGTTTGTCTTCATTCTCAAAGGCCGTCCAGAGATAACAAGAGTTCGCTGCGTATCTTCGAATCCACACGAAACAACCTCCTTCTTATGCTCCTCACTGCAACTAGCTTCAACAGAGGCTACAAATCGTGTACCTACCCATACGGCTACAGCGCCCTGCATCAATGAGCTTGCAAGACTCCTTCCAGAGTAAATACCTCCGGCTGCAACGACCAGCGCGGGGAGGCCCTTGAGAAGAGGAGGGTGGTACTTTGAGGCAACGTCTGCAACAGCGGGGATGAGGATGGAGTTTGCAACGTCTCCTGTGTGACCTCCTCCTTCGCCACCTTGAGCGCATACCATGTCAACTCCGAGCTCGAGAGCTTTGGTCTTTGATGTGTCAGTGAATAGTAGCCAACTCCAGTCTGTGACTTACTGCATGCTTAGGATGGCCAACCATGTTCATGACCAGGATTCCCTTATCATGGAATCTCTTAATCACTTGGGGTGGTGGTACACCCACAGCACTGACAAACAACTTGGCACCACTGTCAATGATGATGTCCACCAACTCGTCCAACTTTCCACCAGTGTAATCATGGTTGGTCTTACGCGCATTGCCTCCAATCTGAGGCAAAGCGAGATCGACACCAAAGGGTAGATCAGGTCGGGAAAAGTTGGCCTTCATCTCTGCAATAATCTCTCGAAGTTGATCGGGTGTATATTGGAAACCACCAATTATACCGAGACCACCAGCGTTGGATACAGCTGCTGCAAGACGACCACCAGACACCCTTGCCATACCGGCGAGGATGATGGGGTGCTTGATTCCCAACAGGGATGTAAGTGGTGTTGTGATGGGGCCTGGAGGTGCCATTTTGAGATATTATGAATAACAATATTAGACAAAGATTTGGAAATAACAAAGTATAAGAATATAATACAGTTGGATACTGACCCTCGGCTCTTAGAAATCTGTGGGGTCGGCTGTCTTAAACATCATCAACCGATCTACCGATCTGCGGGGGAAGCTTCTCATCCAAAGTCCGAGGCATTACCGCATTAGGCTACCAATTCGTGTATCTCATGTGCCTCTGAATGCGCTTTGAACCCTTTCTGCATAAAATCCCAGCCTCGGTGATACATAGTATTTGTGCATAGGTAGTTATTGTATTGTATTCGCTGAATCTATCAAGGTATCCCGTCTCAATCCCGTTTCATCTTTGGCTCAAATCCCATACTTGGCTCAATGTTGGTATCATACATGAAAACATCCGTGACTCGCTATCATCCCTCATTAGGTAGTATTACAGAGAATTAAAGTCCTTGTCATTGGAAATGCGGTAAGCGCGCTGGAACGAAATCTGTCTTCTCTGGTGATTTTGTGCCATCGGGTTGCGAACTGTTTGGCGCTTCATCTTGTGTCGCGGGCTTGTCTTCGACTTCTTCGACGTGATGGTAGGCGGCTTTCGAAGGCGATGGTTGGTAAACATCATCCTCTGCTACCTCTGGCTTTGACTCGGAGATTGATCTGGGATCAGGTCTTGGTGTGAGACCTTTTTCTGCCGCGAGTTGTGCTGCTGCTTGTTTCTTCCTCTCGACATCCTCGTCTTGCTCTTTTCGTAGCATAAGCTCTTCTTGTTCCAGGTCATGTAAAGTCGGTCCCTCAACATCTGGCGTTACAGAAAACGAAGTTGATCGCTGCTCCATTCGGTAGTCGTCCTTGGAAGAAACTGATCCTAATGTCGTCCGCGAGACTGTTCTCGACCCTGCCAAACCACCGGCCGGTCTTTTACCCTTACTGCTGGTTCTTCCACTTCGTCCACTTCGGTCATCTTTTCTAACCATGTCATATGTTACTTCGTCGTCAAGTGGAATTGCATCTTCTTCACCTTCGCCATCACTTGGGAACAAATCGCCTCGTGATCGATAAGAATCTGATGTATCGCCCGACCCTGTCGTCCCGCTGCGCTTTCTAGTCACTGGCAGGTCAAAGTCGTCTTCGTCAGAATGTAGTAGTGGTTCGTTTTCTCCTTCGCCATGTCGTCGTGGATGGTCTTGCAGATCTGCCGCACTAGGTTTGTATCGCAGAGTACCGCCCATCTTCCATGGTAGTTTGCTGAGAAACCCGATCGGTTGTGTACTGGGAATTACAGTAGGGTCATCGTCCATGCTTGGCTTTCGTCTTCGGTCTCGGGTCCCATAGCTCATGCCGCGTTTCCTGCGCGGTTGTTCAGTTTCTGCCCCAGTGTGTCTTCGCTGAGTGCCAGTCCCAGCCAACAATCTATCCCAATCTTCATTACCCCATGTGCCGAACAGACCGCTCTGTTCTTCCTCGTACCAGTCATCGTAAAAGTCGAAGCTGTACTCTGCCCTACTATGCGACAGCTCTCGCTCTCTGCGCTTTCGTAGACGTTCCTCAGGGTCACCTAGACATACAGTCGTACACTGTTCAAGAGATTGCGCGATGGACGAAAAGCAAGGGTTGATATAATTATGTTGAAAGGTCCAGATTCCAGCTGCCGCATTCTCGGTTATGGTCTCGGTATCGTGGGCAATTTGGTTCCAGCGTTGGCGCAGTCGGGGGTCCTCGAGGAATGCCATTGTCAATATAGTGGATATGACGTCGCAACATGGAAGCGCCGAGGTCGCAATGTGTTTCAGAGGATGTAAGAGGATTCAGAAGAGTAGATGATTAATTTTGGTGCGAGTCAATTAGTAGACATGATCGCAGAGGTGAGGAGTTCACGATCAGCCATCAAAAGTATAATCTCGTGAGTGACAGGCTATGATTGAAGATCAGAGTTGATTGTAACTGTAAGACAGCGGTTGTTGTGGCACGTGCAGCGAGGTGAGACGATTAACAGTTGGGCTTGTTGGGTGGTTGGTTGAGTGGAGGTACTTTGAAACGTGGTTGTCTGGTGGCTGGTCACCAAGTACTGGATCCACTGGGCTTGACTTTCGATATCTATGATACTTCAATGTTGTAACTCGACGGATCTTGACATGATGAACCTTGTTATTTTTGGTGAGTGTCAGGCGGGATCTTGTCAAAGTTGTCCAAGCTTAGTTACACTCTATTTCGATTTGACGTTACATTTGTCTTGAACGGGGTAAGAAAATATTCGTATTGAGCAGTCTGCAGGTGGTATCAGGCAACGCAAGAAACAGTGATGTAGTACTAAACAGTCCAGTAATCTCGAGTTGTGGTATCCTACTTCCTAGGGATACGCATGTTCGCTATCACTCTTTCGATAAGCTCTTCCTTGGTGGCCTTTGGGTCGGGGTGTAGATTTCTCTGTTTTGGTTAGTCTACGTCAATGGCTGTGGGTGATTCGCTTGCCTTGTTCAACCACAATTGGCATTCTTCCTTTGTCCATGTCTTAGGATCACCAGTAGGGTCAGGCTGGGGTGGGAAGACTCCTTGACCATCATTTCCCCAGATTGTGTATGCCGCTGCCATAGAAACAACGCCTCCAAAGACTGGGCATATCAGTAGGTGGCTTACCCTGCAGATGAAGGATACTTACAGAGGACGACGTTCTGAGAAGTGTTAGTATGTTTAGCTTGACTAAGTGATAGATATCACCCTATCACTGGATTTTCGCTCATACCTTGGACTTCATAAGGTTATCAAGCCGAGTCGACATGTTGACGTCTTTCGTCGATACTGACGTTATCAACAAGTTTGGCGATCCAGCTGGTATACACCTATTCTGGAGCACCAAGTGTTGTAGGTCGAGAAGGTCTAGAGAACAACAAAAATAATATGGTTACAACAATAATGAGCACCTTAAATATTAAGTTTCAAAGGATTTACAATCACAATGAAAGGTGGCCATTTCAAGATTCCTGCCTGTTGCTCAAGGCCTCGTCTCATCCTCGTCTGCGCCACGTATTCTGACGCCACATCTCGGTGGATCGGCGACCATCTCTCCCGAACCAGTCCAACAAACGACAGTGGTCCGTGCACTCAAGTCCCCGCGAAAAGCAGCGCACAAAATGAATTCTCCAAATTTCATTCATATCGAAATCGTCAACCCGTGCCTTTGACAAGTTTCCGTTCAACCCATCCACCTTGAACTACCGCCAAGATGCCTCAAGAGGTCGCCGATATCAAGAAGGTATGGCACGCGAGTACCAGCGGAAGGATTGAAATACTGACTCAATTACTAGTTCATCGAGATCTGCCGTCGGAAGGACGCCTCCTGTACGTTTTGACGAAGAAAAAACCTCCACGAAAGAAACGCAATTCGATTCTAACAATTAATCCCAACAGCCGCGCGGATCAAGAAGAGCCAGAAGACCAACAACATCAAGTTCAAGGTCCGCTGCCAGAAGCACCTCTACACCTTGGTTCTCAAGGACACCGACAAGGCCGAGAAGCTCAAGCAGAGCCTTCCCCCCAGTATGATCCTCCGCCAGGACGCAACGATGATACAAACCACTGACACAGCACACAGACCTGCAACTCACCGATGTCTCCAAGAAGGCCAAGAAGTCTACTTAAGAAGGTGGTTGAATAAAGGGTTGACTCTGGGTGTGGGAGGATTTCACAGGCACGAATGGGCGTCTCGGGATACCTTGCATTTCATCATGTGCTCTGAAAGGAGGATACTCGGATGAGTCCAAAAAATAAAAAGAACGATTCGAGTCACAAGATACTGGGTTTTTTTGCGTGATGAGTGTTGAATTGGCTAATGCAGGAAAGGCTTGTGCTCGAAGCGGGAGACCTTTGTGGCTTCGAACCTCACAGCTATACCGGACTCGATCACGTCTTCGAAGCCTGGAGATGCGATTATCACCATGATTGAATCGCCGCCTTCTATCCTCCACCCTGCCCACATTCTTTGACCTGGTAGTGGTGCGGATTGGGTCTCGATGGAACGATATTCCTTTTCGAGGGATGCTTTTTCCTCAGCCTTCACTGATATCTTCCAGACCTTGACCGAACCTCTGGCAAGAATGTCTCCTCGGAATTCATTTTCTCCAGCTGGCACCGTATGATACAAGGCCACGGCGTCCTTGTCTTGACTAATGAAGGGTTTGAGCTCCTGCATTAAAGATATATTCTCTTGACTTTGGATCCATTCGTTGTGACCATCCACAGACTCCCACGGTGCTGTGAGAAACAGGTGCGGCGCTTCGCCATCGGTGACCCAAACGTCGGTGGTGTAGTTATATGGCTTTCCCTGAAGGAGATTGGGCTGATGCTCCCTAACCCATTGAGCTTGTACTTGCTGGGTCTCTTTGAAGATGTGTCGTAGTTTATCCTCATCGTACCCTGGCTTTAGCTGGATGCAGGCTGTTTCAATGACGCCAGCCATTTTATCGACAAAAGACTTGAATTGCTCAATCAACAAAAGGCTCAGATGCCCTCTATCCTTCACGATGAAGCTGACTAAATAATCAGTCAATCAGGCATCTTTGACGACGTTGATGCGGGGTTCAGTCGAGGATGCGCCATTCAGTTGCCTGGGATGGATCACGGTCAGCAACGTAGTCGTCAGCCATAGGTTTGAATGCTGGCCGTGGTCCAGGGAGTTCTCCGTTCACTTGATACAGCTTCTGTGTCAACACTTTGTAGCAAATCCTTCATAGAGCCACATGCTTTATAGGAGACGAAATAAAACCTAGGACATTGACCCTAATGAAAAAAAAGACTTAGGTAACTTAGTATAAGTTTAGGATACCTTTTGCTGAGTTTATTTTGATACCCTATACCAAGGTCTGATGTTTTCTCGCTCCCCGAGCAGCCTCAATTTTGAGACTGTCTTCTCCAGTTTTTTATAACCTCAACCAAGTCATTGTCGACAACGACATGCGTGCAGCCGTGACATATGGATGTCATTAATTATTCCGTGCCTGGATTGCCGCCCTCCAGAAACTTGAAGAACGTCAACTGATTCCCATCAGGGTCTTTGATAGCGAACTGCCGAAAACCCCACAGCTTATCTTCAATCGCTTCTTCGATCACCTCACTTCTCTGACCCTTGACAATATCATGCAGCATATCCAACTGCTCTGTACCCAACGCGATATATGCCGACCCTGGTTTGACATCGCCATCAGGCTTGAAGAAGTAGATATTGGCTGCTGCTTTCTCCCCTGCAAAGATCGAGCAAAAAGTATAATCTGAAGACGGCCCGTCCTCTGGCTTTACCCCGCCCAATTTGAATCCGAGAAAGTCGACATAGAAATCAAGAGCCCTCTGTATTGATTTTGATTCGAACGTTGGAATGATTTTCCATGCTGAAGCGATTGGCGCCGTCATGTTGTGTCTGTTCAATATAGTATTCGTATAAAAGAGATGCGAATACGAAAGTGTTTCAATGCATTTAGCAGCCAAGAGGAGCGTTATGTATGCGACAATTGATGCACACTCTTTGCTGTCCAGTAACAGGCAACAGCTTCTCCAAGTACGGATACGGCCACACCAATGAGTTATACCTAGCTGCAGGCACCAGCATGGGTATTGTCCCGTCCGTCGTCATATTTTAGCTTCGCCTCGACGACGTAACTGCAAACCTGCAAGTTCCAACGACTCCAAATGTTCTGTTGCTTCGGCAGATATTCGAGGCTGGCTCAAAGTCTCATAACCTGATTTACAGAGACTTTGCCTGACCAACCACAGTGCTACATATCACCATCAACCTCTTCTGGCGCATCGATTAACAGCTGAACCAGACGGCTTATCCAGGGTCACACGGTTGGGTTGCTGTTGTATTGTTCGTTGCTATTGTCATCATCATCAATCACGCGGCTACAAATGCCGATGCTTGTCTCTTCTGTATCTCTTCTTCAACCGATAAGCATTTTTGATTCTGAAAATTTGAAATACCCAGTCCTCGCCGGAAAACTCGGTCCATACAGTTTTGCTTGTTCGATTTTCCACTCTCGGTTGCTGCATCGACAAATCGCGGGAGACGGGACGTCTAAGTCGTGGTGGTGGGCTCAGCTCAGTCTCCAGATAAACCTAAGCCCAGCTGGATACTTGACTTTAGCGCTAGACCGCTATTTTGAGTTCTTCCAATTGGAGGCCTACCATTACACATTCAGTTCAACAACAGAGGACAGATGTTGTGAGCTGTTGGCAACGTCTTGTAGGCATCTCATATCGAATGGTCTCGAATTTGAAGAGGAGATAATAACGGTAGCACCTAGATTGTAACCCAAGTCCCTTAGCCTGTCTCGTTAAAGCAGTTAGTTCCACCTCATCTTGTTGATCGTTGGTAACTGTCATCTGCACTATCGAGGCACTCACATCCGGAACCTTTCCTATTTCGGTTGACGGGCGTTTCCCCTACATCGTCCTGCTCCTTCTCTTTTCCATTGGAACAACTGTGAGGTGTGTCAAAAGGCAGGTACGCTGATCTAGGGATAGAGGTGGAAAGTGCGGGGGACTCAATTACCCATTACGCCAACAATTCCCAGCGGTGCATCAATCTAACCTGCGTCTACCTTGGAACTTACCTACCTCTTCATCTGTGACGCTACTGTTTATTGCCTTTCATTATCGTCTCTGGCTTGCATTGCATTGCATTGCATTGTTGGGAGTCAAGGTCCGTCCGTTGTTGCCCGCTTCCTTTTTAACTTATCACACCCCCGCTCTCGAATTTAAAGAAGTTACTTTCCACCCCCTGACGATGGTTAAGAAAGGCAACCACTAATTTACCGAATTCAGCAACTTTCCTCCTTCATCTTCCTTCTTATACTTTTCTTTCTACTGTTGAATTCAATTATCTTCGTACAATCCTTAACTGCTATTTCTCGCTCTACGACTCTTTCGCTTTCTACGAAACATACTGCAGACATTCATCACGACAGGGGTCAGACCACGTAGTTGGAGATAAGATCAACACCAAACAACACGCGCGACACTATCACCTCCATGCCATCTGTGACCCCAGTCATGGTAAACGGGCTCAATGGCAGCCATGCCAATGGCAACGGCAATAGTCACGGCCCTGCCTCCGATTCTGGCTCCGAAACATCTGGCGACTCCAGCAATGGCAGTGCCCGTCGTCGCATGAAGTTGAGTCGCAAAATGTCTAGCCCTATGGCACCTCCTTTCATGGTATCGGCACCAGGAAAGGTCATTGTTTTCGGAGAACACTCCGTTGTTCATGGAAAGGTAAGTCGGTTCCATCTTATCGCCAATTGCATGCTTACATGAGTGGCGCACAGGCAGCCATTGCCGCAGCCATTTCACTGCGGTCCTACCTTCACGTCACCACCCTCTCCAAGTCGAAACGTACCGTCTCTCTCCGATTCGCTGATATCGATCTCGTTCATACCTGGAATATCGACGACCTGCCATGGGACGCATTCCAGCAACCTTCCAAGAAGAAGTCATACTACTCCCTCGTAACAGAACTGGACCCTGATCTTGTTGCGGCTATCCAACCACACATCGAAGTTGTCTCACCCGATCACCCAGAGGAGATTCGGAGAGTTCACCATAGCTCTGTCTCAGCTTTTCTCTACCTCTTCCTATCGCTAGGATCGCCATCCTTCCCCCCATGTCTATACACTCTCCGATCAACAATACCAATTGGTGCCGGTTTGGGCAGCAGTGCGTCAGTTTCAGTATGCCTTTCAGCGGCTCTTCTTCTTCAACTACGGACATTATCCGGCCCTCACCCAGACCAACCCTCGGAAGAAGCACGACTTCAAGTCGAAAGAATCAACAGATGGGCATTTGTGTCAGAAATGTGTATTCACGGGAACCCTTCTGGTGTGGATAATACGGTTGCGACACAAGGTAAGGCCGTGGTGTTTCAACGGACAGATTACTCCAAACCACCGACAGTTCGACCTCTATGGGATTTCCCTGAACTGCCTCTATTGTTGGTGGATACTCGACAATCCAAGTCTACCGCACACGAAGTTGCCAAGGTCGCAAAGCTGAAACAAACCCACCCCAAGCTTGTTGGTACAATCTTGGATGCGATGGACAAGGTCACGGATGCCGCTTCTGAGCTCATTCATGGCACTTCTTTTGACAGCAATTCGGAGACAGACCTTAGCAAAGTGGGCGAGCTAATGACTATCAACCATGGTCTATTAGTATCACTGGGCGTTTCCCATCCACGCTTGGAACGAGTGCGAGAACTTGTCGACCACGAGGGTATTGGATGGACAAAGTTGACTGGCGCTGGCGGTGGTGGATGCTCAATCACACTTTTACGACCTGGTGTATCCACAGATAAGCTACAAAAGCTCGAAGGACAACTGGAGTCTGAGAATTACGCCAAATTCGAGACAACTCTTGGTGGTGACGGTATTGGCGTCCTTTGGCCAGCTGTCCTGAAGAACGGCACCGAGGAAGATGACGAGGGCGGCATGGAAATTGATCTTGAGAAGTTCTTGGAAGCTGAGGGCACGGAGGGTGTCGAAAAGCTCGTTGGAGTGCATGGCGATACTGGAGAAAGAGAAGGATGGAAGTTTTGGCGAGTTGAAAGCCAGTAAATCACTAATAAGACAGAACACGCTCATGCTGTTGAGCATTTACTACGATGTACACCATCTGGTTAACCAGGAGGGTCAAAGTTGACCAGGACTTGAAGAAGCGATGGACAAAGGCCTCTTTGGTGGGAGTTTTTGGCATATATATGATTATAATCTAGTAATGCGACATGTTCTTTCTACTCACTTCATTTGGGTACTAATCTGGGTCTTTGGGTTTCCGATGTACAATGGGAATACAATTCTGGGCTTGAGGTATCAAATCACATCATATCAAAACATCCCCAACTATTCTTTTGCGCTCTGGCCGCTCTTCAGCAGAGTTACACGGTATTTCCAATATCCCTCTCGTACAGGATCCCATTTCTCTCCAAGACGCCGTAGACAAAGCTCAGCCTTTTCCTTGTCACCCTCTTCATCGTATAATTTGGCCAAGAAATCAAGCGCGTGTGAACTGCGGACCTCTTCTGCTTCCTCTCCCAGTGCAGTGACAAACTTCTCGGCGAAATCTTTAAAGGAGGATAGGGGACGGGAGCCTTTGGTCAGAACAGCAAAGACATAGTTCCAAGGAGACTGGTTTTGCGGGGCCAAATCAATCTTCTCTTTAGAGTAATTGATCTCTCGATCGATTGTCTCTGCTGGAACGCGAGGGTCTGCTTCCGTAGGTCCTGATCCAGAGGTGGAAGCTGTGGGGTCTGAGAAGACGAGATAGAAGCGGTGCGACCAAGCTGAGTTGTTTCGTACATCCTCCTCGATATGATTTTGGGTGGAAAGAAGCTCACTCATAGTCCACATGTACAACTTGGAGACGAGGTACTGGCGATACGACCATACATGGTAGTTCTTGGCATCTGATTCCAGCATCTTTGTGATGAACTGCGTCTCAGAGCGAGCCAGTTGACGAACAGTCGCAGTATCCTCCTCGATGAGAGGATAGTAGTAGTCCATCAGGAGCTGACGATGGTTCCAAATCTGGTAGTTCTTGAGATTGCTGAGAGCAACCTCGTTCAACCATGTAATCTCATCAGGAATACTAAGTTTGAGCACCGAAATAATCTTGAAGCGGAACAGCCAGACGGTGTAGTGTGCTGGGTTCATGGAAATGACGTGCTCTGTCAAACGCAGACTTCGGGGAGAGCATTCGTCCGTGGCCATGACGGCGCGGAGGTAGGATACGGCTATGGTGCTGTTCAGTCAGTCACTCCTTTAGACCTGGGCATCAAACGGACGTACCCTCTGCGTAGTCGTCCGGATAGGCAATCTGTGCAAGGGCGCCTTCGGGCTCGTTCTGCGGGATGGGGATGACATCGTCCCATTCAGGATCCTGGGCCAGACTTCCCGTGATCTCCCCGTACAAGTCCCTCTTGAGCGCAGCCATAGCTTTTCTCCTCGTCTTTTCAGTGGCGATGTCCTCGGTGGTTACTTCGAGTTGCTTCTCTCGCTTCTTGAGAAACTGGCGGTGCTGTATTTGCAGTGATGTGAGCTTTGCGTGCTTTAGTGTGCGCTGCTCAAGCTCGTCGGGCGAGTATGTCCCGATATCTCGTCCGGACCGGTCTTTTCCCCAGGCGTAGTCGCGGGGAAGTCTGCGAATAGGTAGACCCTCTTTAGTAACAAACTTCCAGAACTCGCGCTCTGTCTTGTTGGAAAATGGAACACGGCGGTTTACAGCAGGATGAATGAGGTTGACGTGCGCGTATGTCTTCTTCTCAGCGGGAGTGAGAGCTGATAAACCGACTTGCTGACGACGGTTCTCGACAGGATTCGTCTGAAAGAAGCGCTGCTGCGAACGCTGGGCGATGGTGTCTGGGGGAGATTCTGGAGCAGCTGGGAAATGTTAGACAGATATAGAGACCGAGTGGAAAGTATATACCTCTGGGCTCGGGGTTCGGGGCCTTGGAGCTGGCTTTTGTCTTGGGTGGCATTGTTGGAGTTGGAGAGCTACGTTTGTGATGGATGGTGGGGTTTTGTCACTGGGCTTTACTGCTTTTTTGCTGTATGGGGATTGATGCATGTGCAGGGGAGGATACCCCGCCAAAATGAAGCTACCTATTGTTCTTGAAGCCTCGTTGAAGAACAATACAAGCACGTGCTAGTGGTGGTTAAGCTCGGATATTTGTTATGTAGTGTTGGCAAACAATTGTTGGTGGTGTAAAATGAGTTGCTTGTTGGTTTGATGTCTAAATTAACCGATACGTAGATGAAAGCATATCATCTGCGTCCACCTGAATGCCCTATTGTTCTATGCGCCATGATACCGGCTCGTCTTTCACGCCTCGTCAAAGTCGTCTTCTCTCCCATTTGATCTGGCTCTCGTTCATCATCTTCTACCCCGAGTGGCACGACCTGCCCCCTATGGCTTCTGCCCGCGGGGCTTCTTGGCCGAGTTTGCGTGACTGTTGTCCTCATTCAACGCACGCTTGGTCTTTCCAAGGTTTCTCTCAAACTCAGTTTCCTCTCTAATCGGTATCTCTTCACCCTCGGCCCAGCCCTACAGAGCGCGAAAGTTCTGGGACATGACGAGCCACTTCTTCACACCCCTAGGAGGGTTCTTGACCATAGATTCCCAGTTCGGTACGAGAACAAACGTCTCGTTGAACATCTTTTGAGGCGCCTCTCTGCCCTTTCCGAACTGTACCCTGCCCATAACAGTGACGAGGATGGACATCTTGTCGCCGCTCTTCTCCTTTTTCGCGCTGTCGAAGATGTTTTCGGGTGCGCCCATTGTGAAATTCGGGTTGAGGACGTGTGCGTCGAAGGATTCGATCTCATAGTGCGCGTCTTTGCCTTGCGCTTCGAGGAGTTTGGAGTAGTCGTCTGGTGTTGGGAGGACGGCGCCGTTGATGGAGATGTCTGCGGCGATGGGGTATCTTTGGGAGGAGTTTATGTAGAATGGGAGGATGTCTTTTTGTCGGTTTATGGCTTGGTAGTAGTTGCTGGTGAAGATTTCAGCAGCTGAGTTTGTTAGCTATAGCTTTCGCAGCACGAAGATGAAGATGACTACCATCGCTCGAGGTTTGCACCTCTGTTGCCAGTGTTGGGCCTGACATGGTTGTGCTTGTGTGTGTATCGATGGTCAGAGGAGAGGATTGGGTGGGAGGAAGAAGTCGGGCACGAATAGGTCCGGAGTTTTTAAGATTGGCGCAAAAGTAAACAGTTCCAGGCAGAGTTTCAAAAAGATGCCTGCGATGATGCAGATAGACAGTTATCACAGAACTTGTCCGCACGGTGCATATTGTAGCTTATCGGGTGACGCTTTGCAGCTGCATCTCCCATCTCCCCACATTCCGCTCAGAATTACAGCGAGAAAAGTAGCTCTGGAAGCTCTCAGGTGCCATGAGGGCATTCAGGTTTCAGTCCTTACAAGGCGCTCGCCAAATACAGTCTCGATTGGCCTGTCAATCCAACTTGAGTCGCCTAGGATGTCGAGCCTATGCGCCAACCTCACAATGGCGCCGTTCGAATAGCACTGAGTCGACAGGCAAAGAGAAGCCATTTTATGCAACAACGCCCATCTTTTATGTCAATGCTGGTCAGTTTGATGTCTCGTAGCTCTGGCGTGTCTAATTGCCGCGCAGCTCCTCATATTGGTCATCTGTACACCATGGTTCTGGCCGATGTCATTAAACGATGGAAGCAAATCAGCGGTCATGAGGCCTACCTCGCTACAGGCACAGACGAACATGGCATGAAAATCCAACAAGCAGCTCTGAGAGAAGGATTGCCACCGAAGGAATTCTGTGACAACAACGCCAACAAGTTCAAAGACCTCGCCGAACATGCCAATATCTCGCACGATTTCTTCATCCGAACCACCGATCAAGAACATAAAGACGTTGTACAGCAGTTTTGGCTTCTTCTCAAGGCTCGCGCTCCGGAAGGATTGGGACTATACAAGGGAAAGCATGAGGGATGGTACTGCGTCAGTGACGAGTGCTTCTACCCTGAAGATCTTGTCCAGCCAAGCGTTTCTCCCCAAACAGGCCGCAAGATGATGGTCAGCAAAGAGTCAGGTAATGAGGTCGAGTGGGTTTCGGAAGATACGTGGTTCTTCCCGCTGTCCAAGTATAAGGAGAAGTTGCTTCAGTTCTATGACGAGAACCCGACATGGATTCAACCCGCTGATCGTATGAATGAAGTGCGCAACTGGGTTCAAGATCATCTCGAGGATCTCTCCATCACTCGCCCTGCGACAAGACTCAATTGGGGAATCAAGGATCCCGAAGATCCCAACAATACTATCTACGTTTGGGTGGACGCTCTTGTCAATTATCTGACCACCTCTGGATTCGGCACAAAGTGGCAGGTTGGTGACAAAGACACGGGAATCTGGCCAGCAGACATGCACGTCGTCGGCAAAGACATCATTCGCTTCCACGCAATCTACTGGCCTGCTCTCCTCATGGCCGCAGGCCTTCCCCTACCCAAGAAGATCCTCTGCCATAATCACTGGACCATGTCGAACCGCAAAATGTCAAAATCTGTTGGCAACGTCGTCAACCCTTTCTTCGCCGTACAGCGCTGGGGTCTCGACGCTCTACGATACTTTCTTATGCGTAACGGTAGTTACAAAAGCGACTCGGACTACGCGAACGAATATATCGCCGCTATTTACGAGAAGGACCTTCAGGCCAACGTTGGCAACCTGTTCAACCGAATTGCTCGAGTCAGGAAGCTTGCATGGAGTACGACTGAGGCAGTCGGATTTGCGAAGGCTGGGAGGTTTGAGAACCCTACGGAGATCTTGCCTACAAGTTCACCTATGTTCTTGAGTCTCGAGAAGAGTCTGCAAAGCCTGCCAGAGGAAATTCGAACACATATGGACCACAATCAAGTGAACCATGCCCTACACCGTATCTTTTCGCTTCTCCAGGACGTGAGTATTCCTTGTCCAGCCGAGTTCCAGTGACTGACCTGTAACTAGACCAACCGCTTTATTTCAGAAACTGCGCCGTGGAAGATTGTGAAAGAGCAGGATGCGAATGCGCGAACGCGCCTCAACTGGGTCATCTACCGATCCGCCGAAGCTCTGCGCATCGCAGGCATCTTTCTACAGCCCGTCATGCCCGGAAAGGCTACGCAGCTGCTCGATGGTCTAGGTGTCAAGCCAGAGCGGCGTACTGTCGAGTATGCTCGCGCTGACGCTGACCTCGATTATGGCACAGAAGCTGCTATTGTAAGCGACAAACCTGATGCCTTTGGCTCTATGTTCCCTCCTGTGGCGGGCATTAAGCTGCCAGATGCTGAAGTCGTGGCTAAGATGGAAGGGCCAAAGAATCGACTGGGTCGTGTGGTGGTAGCATTGGCGCAGGAGGCTCAAAAGGCTCGAGAGGCTGAAAAGACTCAAGACGTTAAGACGGTAGAGCCTAAGATCAAAGAGGCTAAGACGAGAGAATGATGGATGAATCAGTGTAACGAAATATGTAAAACATGTACAATACAAAGAAAGCGTTGGCATATTGTCCTGCATTTACCTATGACTGTAGTTGTAAGAAGCTTTTGTGGTGCCCCATTTTGACTCAACTTTTTCACCAATGATGTTGAACTGTGAATATTCACCTCACAACTTACACCTCACAAAATCACAATGAAGATCAACCAAAATACAGGTAAATGCTACATTCTCCGTAAGCACACATGCACTCACTGACATGTAATAGCCATCTCAACAAGCAAAGCCTTGCTCGTTCCATACGAGGCGCATCATGTGCAGCAATACCACGCATGGATGCAAGATCCTGTAAGCTCTCACCATCACCAGAATCTCACACACTAACGCGTCTCAGGATATTCAAGAAGCTACAGCTTCAGAGCCCATGACTTTGGAGGAGGAATATGAGAACCAGCAATCGTGGCGCACATCTTCTGATAAACTCACCTTTATTGTCTGCGCACCACTCACCGAGAATGTATCACTTGTGAAAGCCGGCGCCGCGGATGTATACCCTCTCATGCGAGGCGACATCAACTTCTTTGTGTACCCTTTTGAATCCGACGATGAAGATACAGAGACAGGTACAGAAGGATGGGTCACAGGTGAAGTGGACGTCATGATCGCATCGCTTTCACATCGTGGCCAAGGTTTAGGAGAAGCAGCAGTTTGTGCATTGCTTGTCTATATCCAAAAGCACCTGGATGAAATACTAGCAGAGTATGGGGCAAAAGAATTGAAGGGCTTGATGGTCAAGATCAAGGAGGGGAATAAAGGAAGCAGAGCTTTATTTGAGAAGTTGGGGTTCGTGCAGAAGGGAGAGGTGAATTACTTTGGGGAGATTCTCATGACTATTGAGTGGGATAAGATTCTGACAAGAGATTGGTGGAAGAGAGCGGAGGGGGAGTTTAAAGAAGTTAAGTATGAGATGTAAGAGTGAGAGTATTGATGAGACAGCTATAAGTAATATGCAGTTGTTCAAGGCCGGTTTCTGTCACGCCAAGTTGGTGCAATGGATGAGCTTTTCTTCCTTTCATTTATCTTCCTTGCTGATACAGCTGCAAATCACCTCGAACCATCTAAGCCATGTGCACGCTCATATATGTTGCCGGGGTCCTTCATCTTTCATGCATGTTACCAAAGAGCTACCACCACACTCTCATCATCTTTGTTATTGGAATCGTGGTCAAACTATACTGTATATCTAAAACATATCTGCCATAAACCTCTTTCTTCATCATGAGCAGGCCACTCCTTTCCTGACACTAGTTGATAACGTTCAACTACTCCTAGAAGCTAAACAAGCCCTCTTCTTACGATATCTCATGCAAACTTACAAAACATCACATCACAGCTTACCCATCCCCACACATCTAAACCATTGGCCTATACCTTCACATATCTTCAAGCCATTGACTCTTTTCTCCTCAACCTTGCTTCACATCACAATCATCAACCTTCCTTATCAGACCACAAGCGGGGTTCCCAAGCTCCATCCACTTGTGCATACAGAATCTCCTCAGGTGTTGCACAACGAACTGACCGGTCTTGCCCTCCGCGGACAGAGTTCCGCTGATCGAGCGACTTATTGGGTGGATTTTGTCTGATCAACCCATTTATTGGGCGAATCTTATCAAATGCCAAGACCAAAGGTGGGATTTAAAGTTAGCGTTGCTTAAGCATAAATACAAGCATGGAGCCCGACTTCCGACGGGACATCGCTCCTCTTCAATTTCCAACTGATTCATAACTTGAAAATGTATTCCAAGACTCTTTCGTTGAGTTTCCTTTTTGGCGGCGCTGCCAGTGAAGTTATTCATGGCGCTGTAGTCTTTAGCCGTCATGGAGATCGTATGTCTAACAAGCTCAATTGACGATTCCCACTTACATGAATAGGCACTACAAAGTGGTACGGTGCTCAATCTCTCACTAGTCTCGGCGCAGAGCAGAACTTCCAAGTTGGAAGAGATTACCGTGATCGATATCTCGCTTCAGACTCTCAATATCGCATCTTGGGTATTTCTGAAGATGAATACAAGCCTTCTCAGATCTTTGCCAGTGCTCCTGACCAGGGCATTCTTATGAACACGGCTACAGCTTTCCTTCAAGGATTCTACCCTCCTCTCACTGACCTTGATCCTGAGATTGCTTCTCAAACTCTTTACAATGGTTCTGAGAGTCAGGCTCCTCTTGATGGGTACCAATATGTTCGTCTTCATACCATCAACGACAATTCACCAGACACCATCTGGATCAAGGGCGACGATGCTTGCCCGAAATATGTTACTGCCTCAAAGTCTTTCATGAAGAGTGATGTCTTTGCTCAACGCGAGGAAGACACGAAGGAGTTTTACAAGCAATTCTACGATGTTCTCTCCGACGGCGTCTACAACCTTCGTCCTGAGAACATGACCTACAAGAACGCATACAACATCTTCGACCTCGTCAATGTCGCTCGCATTCACAACAGCACTTCTCCAGCCCGAAATGTCTCGAACGCAGACCTTCTTCAGCTCCGCACGCTTGCTGACTCTGCGGAACTCGGCCAGAACTGGAACGAGTCTGATCCTGCTCGAGCCATTGGTGCTGAGACTCTTTCTGGTGCTATCCTCAGCCAGTTGAATGAGACTGTTACTTCTGAAGGAAAGCTCAAGTTTTCTCTCTTCGCTGGAAGTTACGACACTTTCCTTGCTTTCTTCGGTCTTGCGGATCTTCTTGATGTCTCTCCCAACTTCTACGGTCTACCAGACTACGCTTCTACCATGGCTTTTGAGCTTTTCACCGATGATGACACAGACAGTTTCCCCTCAGACCCAGAGGCAGACCTCCGAGTTCGCTGGCTCTTCCGCAACAGCACAGCCGGCGATCTCGAGACTTATCCTCTCTTCGGAACTGGCGAGGACTCTCTCCCTTGGTCAAAGTTTGTGACCGAGATTGAGAAACGTGCTATTACTGATGTTGGAGATTGGTGCACCAAGTGTGGCGCCGCTGAAGATTTCTGTGCTGCGTACAAAGATGACGATGAGAATGCTGAGGGCGAGAGTGAGAACAAGACTTCCAAGAAGGGTGGCATGTCCAACGCCGTTGCTGGTGTCATTGGTGCTATGGTTACTCTTGGTGTTGTTGCTGTCGTTGGAGCTGCTGCCTTCGTATTCATGAGACGCAAGCGAACTGCCCCTGCTGGCGAGAAGAGTAGCATTCACAGTGGAAGCACCAATGGAAATGCGGCCAAGGTTTAAGATTCATACGACATGGAATGACTATGTAAAAGATTGTGTACCTTATAGGCTAATGAATGACGATTGATACTCCCCATCACTGATAACCACTTCAAGTTCTCTCCAAGGCAGATGTCTGTCGAGTCGCCCTATCGACGATGGTAAGAGCACCTTGGAGCTTCTCAATATCATGCTCCAGCTCTTTACGTCTCCTGGCAGTGTTCTCATTCTCCCCACCAACGATCTTCATCTCATCTTCCGAGAGACTAAGAATTCGGTTGGTGTTGAGGCCAAGAACAGGCCCGTCTGGACCAGAGATAAACGACTCAATAACGGTGTTGTTGATGGTACGAATAAAAGCGTCGAGAGAGAGCTGAACAGGTTAGCAATTGCTGAAACTGACGATATAGCTTAGGGTACATACCTTGTAATAAACCTTGAGAACATCGTGGACATCAAGAACCATGTTCTTGCCCAGACTTGGATGGACGGACTCAAAACACTTCGGAAGATCAAGATCTCCCGGGCCGCGGGCACCCTCACAAGCACTGGTGAATCCCTCAAAGAATCGTAGGATTCTCCAGCCATGAATCTCGTCCCCAAAGCGAGGACCAGTAGATTGCAGTCGCACACACTTTGTCTCCATCTCGCACTGAGACTTGCATAGGTCTTCAGTTCTCTGCATGGATTCTTTCCACGAAGCTTCCAAGAGCGCGGTCAACTCCCTCGAGAGAGTAGACGTGTCACTTTCCGCAGGGCAAACATCGTTGAGAATGGAGGCAGTACATCGACTTACGGCTTGTGCGACTCGCGCAAGGTGGATGCTCGCGATGTGTCCCCATTTCTTGACTTGCTCTCGGTACATATCTGGGTAGATGTCGGGGTTGACGATTCCGTCCAGAAGAGACCCCTGATAGAGTGCTAGCTTGTCTTGAATGGCACCCATAAGATGTCTTGTGTCTTCAATGTGTGACAGGCCTGGGAAAGCCTTATCAAGTGAGGCTTCGATCTTCGTCCTGTTGACATTGCGATCACGAAAGGGCAACTGCTGTTCCTCGGCCCTCGCCTGTGCCTCAAGAGCCAGACGTTCCTCTAGCAGGACGCGAGGATCAACGTCAGTGTCCTCAAATTCCCAGGTACCGCCTCGTGCTCGCATGAACTTGTCAAACTCAGCATTCAAGTGACTGACTTCTCTGCGAAGCTCCATGCTGTGGTCGAGGAATCCTGGACGGTCAAGGGCGGTCTGCGCCATCTCTTCATATCTTCGAACAGTAGCAACAACAAATTGCTGTCTCGCGGCATGGCTAGTACGAGGCTCTCCAAGCATAGCCTTCTCGTGTAGCCTCTCTTCAAGGTTATGCTGAATTGTACTGCGGAGTGTTGGAAAGCAATCGCGTATCTTGGAGCTTAAAAGAGTACCAAGATATGACTTGGCTGCAGTTGAGCCTAGACGGCTTTGAGAAACAGAGTTCCAGGGGCTCTTGCTGAACAGCTTCTTCTCTGCGGCACTGAGGTCGAAAGAATCTGGATCTTTGTCTGCTCGGTTGCGAACCAAGAACCAGCCGCCAGTTAGACGTCCAAGGCTATGGGTAGAATTACCAGTTGCGATGGATACAATCTGACTCAATGTTAGCATGGTTCATAGAGCGTTTGTGGTTGACTTGCCCTCTTGGTCGCCTCTGGCTCATGCTGCACCATATCGCACTTTGTGAAAACACCGACGAAGCGGTTTTGCTTGATGGGCTTCTTGGCCAGCCTCAAAATCTCCTGTCGGTCAAAGTCGGTAGGTGCATCGATAACGCATCTTCAGTTGTTAGTATGATCGATCATCAATATCATGTCAACCTGACTCACATGACGATGTTGTCTTCATTGTTCATGTACTCCTTGACCATAGCCTCGACCTTGGCTTGATCTGTCTCGTTAACAGCAGAGGCATTCTGAAATGTGCCTGGAAGGTCGAGAATACTGAAATAGGAGCGGTGGGGGCCTGACAGTTCGATCTTAAGGACTTCCGCTACGAAGTTCTTTCTGTCTTCTCCTAGACCAGTTCGAAGGCCCATGAACTCAGAGGATATCTGCGACTGTCAACCCCTGTGCCTAAAACTGATGTGAGCCACTTACTTCATCAATGACCCTGGCAAACTTCTCTTTAGTGAGGATCTTGCCGCTGCACTCATAGTTCTTGATGTTGTCAGATGCAGGGTCCAAACCAGGAACATCAACTTCAGCGGGATCAATAGTGATGCGGAATGAATCGTCACTGTCTGGTTCTGTGCGGCGAGAGACAATGCGTGTGGGGAAACGAGTGCAGCAGCCGCTGTCGACTGGGAAAGGGATTCCAGTCAAGCTCTGGAGGAGAGACGACTTTCCAGAAGATTGTCCTCCCACTATAATGAGCTATCACTTGTAAGTACTGCAAGAGCCCAAGAGTCTTAGGGTTACATACCTGAGGAATGCTCAAGTCACCGGCACCAAAGGATTGTAGGGCATCAATTGCATCAAACAGGATGCGGTTGTGTTGACTATCAAAAGGATCTTCAGGCATGATCTCTTGATTGGAATCATCACGAGGTCGAGGTGAAGAAATAGAAGTGGGAGAAGGATCATAGAACACATCTCCAAGACTCGAATCGGTTGGAAACTTTCCAATCACCTTTCTAGGGCTCTCCTTGCCGGAATTGAGGCTATCAAAACCTTTGTAAGGTGTTCGGGGAGGAGTATCAAGAGCGTGTGGTTGCATAGAGAGAACTTCAACAGGTCCAGCCATGATGAATTGATAAGAGTAATAGATGAAAAATGAAATAACAAAGGAAAGATTCAGACAAGGGTCTCTTGGTATGAAATTGAAGCTGAGAAATGGATTGTCCTCTATGACTGCCCGCGGGACTTGAACAGATTTATATCCTCCAGACAGACCTGGTTATCCCTTCGTCCACAGCGAAAGCAGCTTTTCTGTAGATTGAAACAAGCCCACAGACTTTGCTGACATCGCTCCAGCTGTTCATGCAACTATGCGCCGGCCATCGGCTCACCTCACTTGGAGTCAAGGGTTTTTTCAGCTCGAGTATATCTATTGCCATATCGAGACATCTCGGGAAGCAGTTTCGGGCAAATATCTTTCTTGGCATGTTAGAGATGACTTCTCAGCCAACAATTGAGACATATTGGCTGTACGATGCAGGTAGTTGAGACCATTGTCGACCAGCATAAGAGCAAAGATAGGAACCAAAATAGTTTCATCGTCGACATAGAGTTCAGGTGAAGGTCAAGAAGGAATCAACCGGCAGGTTTCGAAACATCAAAATTTGATCTCATTGGCCGCTTTAGCATATGCTGTTGGTTGCTGCAAGCACTCAATCAGCTATCTGCAGGGGGTTGAGCGCATCGCTGAGGGGGGCAAAAGATAACTCAAAGAGGCAGCTCGCAAGATGCAAATGTTTTATCTTATCGATCAATTTCCCTGCAGTTTTAGAAACGGCAAGGCAATTGTTTTGAGTTGCATTTATGTCAGGCCGGGGTAGCAAGGTTGCTCTCAGCTGTGCGAGAACTGTACTATTGTGCGAGATGTTGATACCGGGACAAAGCTCGCAATCAAGACCGAGATTGAAGACATTGTGACTTGCAAGCGCCGTCGATAAACAAAGGTGTAAGATCCCAGAAACAACGCATCCTCAGGGTCGTTATACTGGCCGGAGAGGAAACACATCAACCAACAACCAACAACGGCGGTTGTTCAGCTCGGACAGCCAATCATATTTGACCATGCAGTCTTCAACCTGAATCAGGGAGATGTCTCCAAGTCTAGCGTTGTTGCCGCCAACACTTTGACCTTTCGGATGATTGTAGGCCTCATCTCCCACTGACCATTGTGCTATATCAAGAGTTAGGGGGTGAAACAAAACTTGAAGCAACTTTGGAATGATTTGGAAGAAACCTAGTCGGCTCTTCGATGAGTCGCTTATCGTGCAGGACTGTGCTGTAAGCTGTAGCAAAACATTGCAATAGTGGTTCATAAGACTGAGCTGAAGTTGGTGAGAGATATTGGCTGGACAATTTTGATCAACGTGATACGGGGCGTGGCTCATTCTTCTCATTATTCGTACACTATTAACCAAAAACTTGATAATCAACTGAAGAAAGTCGATATCATCTTTGAGAAACTTGCTGATATTAAAACGATGAACGGAGTTCAAGTGAACTTAGCCATTAAAGAGAGGATGATGATATAGGGTAAGCAGCCCCACCTCGAATCAGCGGCGTCACTTTCGACTGTAGCTCAAAATTTCAGCATTTACATCACCAACGACTTGACGGCCGTTGCACCAACACATCACAAGCCGCAGTCTCGATTCTGCGCGCTCTACCGAAATGAACACGATGTTCTCTTCTATCACGCGCCTCGCGCGCCCAGTCCTGGCTAAGCCCCTCGCTCAATCCCCCAGGTAAGCTCTTCCACATGCCTTAATCAAACCATCACTAATTCCATCAGGACATTCACAACCCTCGTCCCTCTCCGTCCCTCGCTCACTCCCATGAACGGCGCTATCCGAAGAACAGCTCTCCCCTCAAGCTTCACCCCCCCGACAACCGCATCAGCCGATATCGTTCCTTCGAGCGCCATCTCAGCACACCCTGCCCTCGGTGATATGCAGATTCGCTGCGGACCCCGAAATACCATGAATGGACATACGAGACTGGTCCAGAAGCGCAGACATGGATTCCTATGTCGTAAGCGCAGTAAGACGGGGAGGAAGATTCTCCTCAGGAGGAAGATCAAGGGCCGAAGGCATATCGCTCAGTAAGCCTGTGAACGTGGCATGAGGAGGTTGGAGGGCATGTGTCAATGAAGCATGAGCGAATTGTGTACGATACCAGAGAAGAGAGCGGAGACTTGGGGTGCAGATGCCATAGTCTCTCTCGTGATACAAATCTGTACAAAGACCTACCAAAAGAAACAAATGATCTTGCATTCTCACATCTCGGCGGAGTACCGAACTTGCATATTGCAGCTGAAGTCTAAACCAGAGGGGTAATATCACGCACTTTTACGAAGGACCAGTTCCAGAACATTTCGGAATTTCAGACCTACCTAAGCTCATACACACAGCATGATGGATGACGCTGGTCGACGTCGGTGTTGCAGCAAGGCCAGCAATGCAGAAAGCTCCGAGCTATCGCACCTGACTTCGGAGAAAGGCTCGAATTAGAAAGATGAGATTCGGTTCCGATAGACAGATGCAGTTCCTGATTCGGATTCACCGGAGCTACCGTTAGTCAACACCATCACGATGTGCGGATAGTTCGAAACCCCGCATTCTCAACTGAGAATCACAGGCTTCTTTTCAGGCACAAAGCGCTATGACTTGGGTCTTATTCCTCGGCTTGGATTTTCTAGTGTGGTGGCCCGCATGTTCTTGGTGTGCCGATCATCAGGTACGCAGTAAGCGGAGAAGCAGGCTGTGAATTGGAGATGTCTAGACTATCACAGAGATTTGTGAAGGACCGCGTTGAATGAATTGATAAGAGACAGTTTGACGCGGTAAACCAATACTTACTGCTGATAAAGGAATACATGGTTTTGACTATCTGATCACAAGTCTATAGATTCAATTGCTATTATCATGGATGTATATCATCTGGCCTCAGTTATTGAAAGTGATGATGATGACACTAGCGTCCAAGAGATGCAGCTTATGCCGGCCCGCCTTGCATTAAGAGGATGAGATGGTGTGAAAGGTGATGAAAAAGGTAGGTGTCAAGACTTGATACTGCAGCTGAAATGTAAGATGTGAATTGATTCAAGTAATCAGAGACATTTCATGTGACGCTGTACTACCGATAATCTCATGTTCAATCAACACCATATTTTGACAGCTAAAGAAATCCGAATATACTCGGATATCTTTCGTCTGATTTAAATGCCAGATTGACACTTAATCAATCGAGTAGATAACCTCGATGCAATATTACCGCAATTACTGCACTCCCTGGGTTAGGTATCGTGTTCCCCAGATATCGGCACTTGACTACTACTCCAGATCAGTTAAACCTGTTTTCCCACATAATTAAACCCCACCTGACAAAAAGTCCCCTGCCTTGAACCCTGTCAACTCGTAGAGTCAAACGCTGCACGCAATGGAAAACTTGATAGCGGTCAAAGGCTGAACTGAACTGAATTGAGCCGAAATGGTTGCAACATGTTTCGGGGTATACTTCCGTTGATCGGCTCTGCAAGTGATAGAGGTGAATGTTTCTGTGAAAGATGGTTGGTCAGTCGACTCGATATAGCTCCGGCGGTAAATCCTAACGTTTTATCTGGTAGTTTGTACTATAATTGGTTTGCTCATCACTGTGACACCAGAACTGTCGACTAATTATTGGATATCGACCAACCACTCTTAACGACTAACACGAATCACCAGACTATTATTCCCTTTTTCTTTTTCTCCTATTTTTTTTCTTTCTTCTCAAAGCCCAGAGCCCTACAAGTCCCAACATTTTGACAGTCCCCATCGCAATGTAACAGAGACTAAACAAAACCCCTGTAGCCCACCATCTTGATCACGACCCTCACGTGGTCCGAGATCGTCGTTACCTGTAAGGGAAGCTCATCCGGGCCCAACGACAAACGGACCAAGGAAAAATGCTGTCAGAGCCCGATGAAGGGACCTTGTCTGCTGGGATCATGGAGCCAAGAATGCGGGGTGGGCAGTGTAGAACACCCCACGAACGTTTAGACTGCCGCGAAAGCTTCATTTCCGCTGTTCGGCCCTTGCTTTGGCTGGGGCGGCGGTTATTACACCGACGACCTGAGGGTTTGCCAAGATTGATGGGGGGGAGCTATGGCTATGGGTGGAGGTGTGAATGTGATGGGATGAGATAGGAAGGGGAAGAGATGGGATCAGCGACTGAGGGTGGGCGGGTATTGTGATGGGAGCTAGCTGAAGAAAAAAAAAAGATATATAAATGTCTTGTTCTTCTCACGATGTCGATCTCTCAGTAGATCTCAAGGACAGCTTCAGCTTCAGCTTCAAGAGCATCTCCAGGAGTTGCACCTCGCCAGCCTACCATCACTTACACCCATACCTTGGACCCTATCCCTTGTCACGATGCTTCTTCTACCACTCCTCTCGGCCATCACCCTCGCGGTAGCCAGCCCTGTAGCCCTAGACGACTACGTCAACTCTCTCGAGGAGCGAGGTAAACACAATCCCACTTCAATTCCTTCATAAGCTCACATTCCCAGCTGTTGGTGTCACCACAACCGACTTCAGCAACTTCAAGTTCTACATCCAACACGGCGCTGCAGCTTACTGCAACTCTGAAGCCGCAGCTGGTTCAAAGATCACCTGCGCCAACAATGGCTGTCCAACCGTCCAGAGGAACGGAGCTACCATCGTGACATCTTTCGTGTAAGTCCAAACCTGCACAAACACATCACACCCTTGCTAACACATCCAGTGGCTCCAATACAGGTATCGGTGGCTACGTCGCGACAGACTCTGCCCGAAAGGAAATCGTCGTATCGTTCCGCGGAAGCATCAACATTCGAAACTGGCTTACCAACCTCGACTTTGGCCAGGAAGACTGCAGTCTCGTCTCTGGATGTGGTGTACACTCTGGCTTCCAGCGAGCCTGGAATGAGATCTCATCCAAAGCAACCGCTGCTGTTGCCTCCGCTCGCAAGGCGAACCCTTCTTTCAAGGTCATCTCTACAGGTCACTCCCTGGGAGGTGCTGTGGCTGTTCTTGCTGCCGCAAACTTGAG